GCTTTGGCTGCCGTGAGATGCGCAGTGCTGGTTTGCATTACATCATTAACAGCTGAGACAGATCATCTCGACAGGCAGACCAACTCGACAGAACACCGGTCCTCAGGTCTCTGCACTGGCTTCCTGTGGCTCAGAGAATAGACTTTAAAACAGCTCTGCTTGTTACAAGTCTCTCCATGGCCTCGCACCAAAATATATTAGTGACATGTTAGTCCCATATGAAGCGGCCTGGACTCTGAGGAGCACAGGGACTGGACTCCTGTTAGTGCCCAGAGTCAGAACTAAACATGGGGAGGCAGCTTTTCAGATTCATGCTGCTAAAATCTGGAACAGTCTTCCTGAAGATGTGAGACAGGCCTCCTCAATGACAATGTTTAATAGACAGTTCTGTTTAGCTGTGCATACAACTGAGGGATTTTATATTTTTATCTTTCTTTTTAATGTTCTGTGATTATTTATGATTTTAATGCTTTCTTGTTTTCAGCACTCTGAATTGCCTTGTGTATGAATTGTGCTATATAAATAAACTTGCCTTGCCTATGTTTTTATAATAAATCAAAGGAAAATGAGCCATCGAGACATTCCAATCCAATCTGCCATAGACCACTCTGAGACACCACCAGACGATGACGCTGAGAGGGGTCCACACGGAGCAAGTCTTTCCACGGCTGAAATGATGCGCTTCCTACGTGTTGAGTACGGGGTTTTATTCATGCATCTATAATGGGTTTAACTCCCTTTTCAAAGACCCTCACTGTTATCTGCGGAGTTATTTCTCCGGATTGTTGCTTAAAGAGTCGTGGGCTTTATTTTGTCACAATAAAATAATCAGACATGGCACTTATTCCCTAAATCTCTCTGTGTTCTTGCTCATACGCCAACAACTTTACCCGCACGCTCGTTCCATCAGCTCACCCCTGCGTGCACGCAAACACGTCACATACTCTTCAATGCACTGATCGCAATTCCAAAAGGGTAATATTGTCAGTGCCCGTGACTGTGGTTCTCCTGCCTCTGTCTGCGGACCTCCCTCACTGTCCAGTAATCGTGAACGGTCTCTCTGTCAGTCACAATATCATTCACTGCATTTCTGGTGCATCCATCGATAGCCGTTAACTTCGGTAAAGTTAGAAAGATATTCACAGATTTGGCTTTTCCGGATCAATAACTCATCATCGTAACATTGCTCTCACAAAACCGACACTTCAGTGCGATCACGGAAAGGTGGACTACTACCTACAGTCGTATTTTCCTCAAAACAAGCCGCCCTCGGTGCTGGGAGACTTGCATTGGCCACTACGCAGAGCCTGCTGGTGCTCGAATGCGCAGGGACCGTCTACAAATGGCAACACCAAAAAATAAGATACAGAAATATTCAATAGCCTTGACCAAAGACATGTATAGTGTCATTAAAATTGCGTGTGTGTGTTTCTGATTGTGTGTGTGTGTGTCTTTTTTTTTTCTTGTATTGAAAAATTATTATGATTTTAAATATTGTTTAACATCCTTATAGGGCAATCTTTAGCAAAATCTCTTTGTAAAGGTGTATGGTAAAAAAAAAAACAACATTAAAAGTCAACTTTATCAAATTTCTTTGGATAAAGGGTTTTTCTCTTTTCATTTCAATTATGTTTTATCATTATAATGAGTCAAAAGTATACCATTGCATGTTGTATTGCCACACATAAAATAGATATAAACCATCTCACCTTAATCACATACTTTGAAAGAAGTGGTTTCAAATTAATTTTAATTTTCTTTTTATCACGTACAAACGACTAAAATGCACAATACGTACACTATTACATGGTGTAGTGCCACCAAACTCACATCATATATTAATCATCTCCCCTTGATCACACTACAGCTCCCAGTTTGGTAAAATATAATTAAAATTAATTTTAAGGATTTTTTATCAAGAAAAAAAGACTAAAATGCACAATACGTACACTATTACATGGTGTAGTGCCACCAAACTCACATCATATATTAATCATCTCCCTTTGATCACACTACAGCTCCCAGTTTGGTAAAATATAATAAAAAATAATTTTAAGGATTTTTTTATCAAGAAAAAACGACTAAAATGCACAATACGTACACTATTACATGGTGTAGTGCCACCAAACTCACATCATATATTAATCATCTCCCCTTGATCACACTACAGCTCCCAGTTTGGTAAAATATAATAAAAAATAATTTTAAGGATTTTTTTAATCAAGAAAAAACGACTAAAATGCACAATACGTACACTATTACATGGTGTAGTGCCACCAAACTCACATCATATATTAATCATCTCCCTTTGATCACACTACAGCTCCCAGTTTGGTAAAATATAATTAAAATTAATTTTAAGGATTTTTTTATCAAGATTTTTTTTTTTTTTATCATTAATTGTTTTTAATTATTAGTATATTTCCATAATGGTGGTTCTCCCTAGTCCTCAAATATAGGTTGGTAAAATGGAATGGTATTGAGTTATCACCTCATGACTGCCTCATGGCCACTGTCTTGCAACCAATCAGATAAAGGATGCATAGTGTGATTAAGCACTAGCCAATCATATGCAGCCATCAATTAAGCTTCGTGCCTCAATACTCTTTGAGATTAGTGTTTTAAAAAGGACTTTCCTGAAGATATAAGAAGTTCTTCATTAATTTCACTTTGGATTCATTGGAAATACCCGCATGATGTGACTCGTAAGTCAAAATCATTTTAACGCGATTACTACCACAACATAATTGCTGCTACTTCATGGATGTGGTCACTGTATGCCGTGGGAATAACATCTCATCACACAATGACATGATTATATTTGAGAAGACTTAAAATACAGCCTGCTTTAGGTTTGTTACACATGTTTTTAGTTTTTTTAAAACTTATTAAAAATGTATTTAAAGCTGCACTAACTGACTTTATTTTCGTATTAATTACGAAAATGCTATCCATGTCCATGTAGTGCATTGGGATATACGTCCTTTTGAAGAAAAAGTAGCGCAGATTTGTGCTGGCCTGACATTATATTTTCGATCGAGTTTTGATGATACAAGGAAGAGAATGTGTTTCGGGTCGCAGATTGTGACCAATCACAGCGCACCACTAGCCCCCACTTTCGTGAGAAATCTACAGGTCCGTTAGCACAGACAGCTGAGTTAGCACAACAAGCGGCGGAGCTAACCTGAAACTTCCTCGTCTTCGTCACCGGGTCCTGCTTACACAGCGAGACAGCCATCCAAAAGAAAGTCTCGTTCCTCCGCGCTTCCCGGTTCTATCGTTCTATGGTCACGCCATCCACGTGAAAATCCATGTCCATGTATTATCCATATTGGGAGAGGCTAGCTCCGTCTCAACACTGTGGGTGTGTGTGGGGCGATAGCTTCGTGGGTGCGGGGAGGGGAGCAGAAAGAGCGAGGCCAGCGAGTCCGCGGCTTCAAAATCCCAAAGTCAGTTAGTGCAGCTTTAATAGTTCTTTTTCTCTGTTGCCTCGGTTGCTACAACCGTATACCATACAAAAATACTGCATTGTATCTATGAAAGTCAGCAAAGTGTCTGCGGCTGGATGCTACGCAGGCTGGAAGAAAAGTACATCAGAAACATTGACAGAGCCTCTTGTCTTCTCTAGATTCATCTCTGAGACCAGTGGAGGGTAAATGACAACATAGATACCTTCAGGATGCCACTCCAGGTGTCTCCTGTGGAGATTCTGAAAAGCAAAAGGAGTGCGCTGAAAAAATCTCCAAAATGAGCTCAGCGACTGATGCCTTGGCATTGAAAATCAAACAAATCACACAAGAAATAAATCAAAACAATTCAATTAAGAAATCAATGCATTTAAATCAATTAACTCTTCCTCAGTGTTGCCAACTTAGCGACTTTGTCGCTAGATTTAGCGACTTTTCAGACCCCTATAGCGACTTTTTTTCAAAAAAGCGACTAGCGACAAATCTAGCGACTTTTTCTGGTGTTATTGGCGACTTATCTGGTGTTTTGGCGACTTATCTGGTGTTTTGGAGACTCGTGAAGCACGTATTGTTCTGCTGTCCTCAACGTGAGCCCCTCCCCCGTCCCAAAGCACTTACAGGCGGCCAGTCTCACAGTAGCCTTGCGCAGCAGTCCCAGCTACAGTCTATGGGCGGAGCAGAGAGAGAGAGAGGAGACTCAAAAGCACAGGAAGTTTTCAGGCTGCTGCAGACTGAACTTCAGCTCCACCACCACCACACATCCAAAGCTCCCCGGCCACTCCTACCACCGCCACCCCCCACTACCCCCCACTCCATCCGCGGCAGCTCTGTCCGTGACTCTGTTTTCTCTCAGTAGTGGGTCACATTAAATCATTTGTTATGCCAAACTATGAAAAAAAAAAAAAACTTACAAAAATAAACCTAAGTAACTCTGCCAGAGTGTGTCTTTTGGGTCACTTTGCCGGTCCCAAGCCCGGATAAAGGAGGAGGGTTGGTTGTAGAGCTAGCAATTTCACCCTACATAACAATCTTTTGATTACATTTGCTGTTATAACATTTAACAATACAGGACAAAACTGATGTGTGTAATGTGGATCTAGACAAAGCATTAAAATCATTAAATGTTGTTAATGTTGAAATTATTTTTGTACATTTGTAGTTCTAAACATATTTAGGGTGTTTTTACTCACTTTTGTCTCTCCCACGACCTTATTCCTCTCTCCTACAGCGTCCGTTACAGTTATTTGCAAATTGCAAATTATGCAAATTAGGCGATGACGTCATTTAGCGACTTCTAGCGACTTTTGGGACAGCCAATAGCTACTTTCCTTACTGAGGAGTTGGCAACACTGCTCTTCCTCTTTATCATCTGAGTCTGGTATGAAGGGCACCACTAGATCCTGTGGATCTGGTAGATCTGGTCCGGGCCGGTCTTGTTGGTCTGGCACTGCACGTGGGTCCAGTTCATTCTGGGTCACAAGTATTTGTAGTGGTGGATCTGGATCCTGGCTCCTGCTATCCTCCAACGCCTGCATGACCGCCGCCACTGAGGTTGACCAGAATTAATTGGACCTGGACCACAACGGTGATTAAGACCAAGGGGCCCACCCAGATAAAATAGACGAAGCAATGGTGCTCCTGAGGCCGACGTGGTCCCATTGTGTCATGAAAGAAAAGCAGACATCATCAGAAACATTAACAGAGCCTCTTTTGTCTGCTCTTTTGTCTGCCCAGTGGTCAAAAACCACTGGGCGTCAAAACCTCTAAAGAAGCCAACTGCGTGACCCTGTTTTTATTCCTGGAGGTTTTCCTTTCCCTGGAGTCAAAGACATGCATCATATTAGAACACAGCAGAGTATGTGTACCTGCGTGCATTCCTACGTGTGCACGTGTGTGTGTGTGTGTGCGTTGACTCTCATAACACAATGACTAGATTATGTGTGAGAAGATTTAAGATTTTACAGCCTTCCTTTAGCTTTGTTGCACATGTTTTTTTTAAACGTTCTTACACATGTACATGTTGGTTTGGCACTAAACAAGCCTTGATTGTTACAACCGTATACCACACAAAAATGGGCTCTTTGCACGCACCACTTCCGCGTTTTAGCTACAACCCCACTTCACTTCCTGTTCGCGGGGAACGGCTTGAGTTTCACTGGAGTTCAGCAGTGGTTTACACGAGTTTCCCAAATAATGCTCAAATGGGAATCAAACTGAGGATACCGGGCATTTTTGGGACACAGCTGTGCTGTTTGATTGTGCTGTCATTGTGTTTTTATAAAGTTTACAAATCTCTCTGAGTGGCCACAGTCAAAGCTCTACCTCAGAGAGAAAGCACAGCGACACTTTTGGGTCAGTCTCACAGCTGAACGTATCAATCTAATTACTAAAAAACGTCACTAAAAGCCATAGGATAGCATGGGCAGGAAGTGGACGAGCTGATAGGAAATGACGTATCACTCTTATTGTGAGTGAAAATGCAGCCTACGCCTTGAAGAGTTTGAATGAGTCCAATTTGTTCAACAACGAGGAGGATTAAGGCCGTTACAGTGACGAAAGTGGAGCTCGTCACTCTGAGATCAACAGAACCACGTCTGAGATGATAGTTCTGATCAATAATACAATAAATAGGGCACAAATTTTACTTTTAACAACATTTGATGTGAGAAATATGATACTTTATTGTCATTTTGGTGATTTGTTATGCTCCGGGGGGAGCTCAGTGGCGTTAAGCTAACGGCAGTAAGCTAACAGCGGGGGGCTGCAACGAATGCAGCCATCCTGTGGGCACGGAGCTTGGATACAACTTCAGACATTACCCCGGTCCTCACAGTCCCAGACCCTGGTCCTCACCGTCCCAGTCGTGGAAATAACGATGAATAATGACTCTTGTACCACAATGACTAGATTATATGTAAAAAGACTGATTGTAAAGACTACTATTAGCGTTGTTACACATGTACATGTTGGTTTGAGTCAACTTTTGGCATTAATACATGGATTTAACAGTTCTTTCTCTCTGTTCCCTCGGTTACTACAACCATATACTACACAAAAATACTACATTGTATCTATGAAAGTCGACTAAGTAAAGTCTGGACTGTCAGCTGTGTCTGCGGCCGCAGATGCTATTGTAACCCAGAGGTTAACAGAGCTACCAGAGTAAAAGCATGCTGGGAGGCAATCGAGCGAGTTTGTTGCAATAAAGTGTGGATTTATAGGGAAATCAAGGAGGTCATGTAGTCATGTGTATATTGAGTTCTATGGGAATATTTAGTGTAGCCCATGTTGAATTTAGTCTGCCATACGTGGGCGCCATCGTGTGCCCATTGATGGGGAAGCTAGTAGCTAGTAATACTTCATCCAGTTATTAAAAGAGAACCAAGCATAAACCTCCTCTATGGCTTCTTTCAGAATAAACGTTTGTCAGTAAACATTGCTTGTCGCCCCCTGCAGGCAGAACCATCGACTGGAACCGTGTGCGAGGTGATCAGCGAGGCCAGTGCCACACCACACACGCCTGCCGCGATGTGGAGGGCAGCTTCGGCCTGGAGACTATCCTGTGACGCTTCGAGTGCCGTGATCAAGAAGAACCCGGTGCTTCCCCCTCCACCGGCTACTCCATGGACTTTCGAGGGCTCATCCGTGGCCTGTCTGTGCGCCATCTCCAGGAACAACTTGAGAACTGCAGTTAGTTTGTTTGCACTTAGAGACCGGGGGCGCAGGACATTTCACTGTCAGATCACCGCAGGGAGGGGAACAAAATCTGTGAGCCACGAGATTGAACACATAGGACCTTCTGAGAATCTTTTCCAAGTCAGTTTACTCAATAGCTTTCAGTCTGATCTTCCTAAAGTGGTAAAATAAGTTCAAATGGAAGACATTGGTATAATTTCTCCATCCCAAATCTCATTGCGTCACCGTTCTTGAGGACCAGTCTCATGTCTTGTCTAATGGAAATGCTATCTGTCCCATCCCTATATTCTAGCAGCAAATTTTAATAAGGTTGAATTATGTCGATTTCATGAACGTATGAATTTATTTTTGAACAGTACACTGTTCATTTCAGTTCACTGTCATGGAATATTGTGCAAGAAATGTGCACATATCCAACAATTCTGATCTTTTGTCGCGTATAAAGGCTCTAAGCAAAACCTTCTTTATTAAGCTAAAAGTGATTGCTATGTGGAAGTGCAATATTTCTGTTAGCATTTGCACTAAAATAAGGCCTAAATCCTCATATGACATCACAGCCACAGAAACAAAGCCGGACAGTGTGAAACGTCTGCGGCTCTTTGTTATGGACGCTAGCAGGCGAATGGTTTGTATTTAACATTCAGTTTTGATTCTTTTTTTGTTTTGAATTTCAACCAGTCAGTGCTCAATGGCTGATTAATCCTGGTTAATCTATGTTTGTCTATATGTAGTAAAGCTACTACATTGTACCATAGATGTAAGTCCTAAATGAAACCTACTACATCTAGATGAGAATAAAAACACTTCTTGATGTAAAAGGAATCATTTGTTTTCATTTGTGAATCGAATGAAGGTATTTGTGAGAGTTCCAGCAGCACAAGAATTATACTGGCAATATCAGACACTGTGATTCAATACTATACAAGGGAACTGTTATAATAGTATTGAGGAAACAAATCAAAAATGCTTGAAATTGAAAATTGAGTGGAACGATCAACAACATATTTTTAGGGAAACGTCTGTCTTCGGAGACTTTGATGAAAATCTCGATTAAAAATCGAAATCGTCCCAAATCCGGGAAGTAAATCGAGATTTACTTTTTGCCATATCGGCTGCCCTAGTTCAAAGCGTCATAACAATTACTTACAAAGTGAGCTGGCAACTATCGTTTATTTTGTAATCGATTAATCTATCGAGAGTATTTTTACGATGAATCGAGTAATCGCTTGGGGGGGCTGTGAATTGTGTAGAAAAAATGTATTTTTTCATACACAAAAAGCTAAAGTGGCAACTCTCGAGGAACGTATTGATGGCGTAAAAAACTTAAAGTAAATGTTTGTAAACAGGGGCTACTTGTTCTAATTCTGTTGATTGATGAGGACAGACAGATATTCATGAAAATTATAAAACAAAGTCGGTTTTAATCAAAATACTACATTTTCATGTCATTTTTCGCTCGTTGAGTTCGTGTGAACAGAAACGATTAACGATTACTTAATTAGTTTGTCGACTATTTCAATAATCGATTAGTCGTTCGTATTAATCGATTAGTTTGTTTCAGCCCTACTTACAAGTTAAACGTTATTGAAAATGCATATTTAAAAAAGTGGACACTCGCAATACCATTCTCAAACAGAAACTTGAATCCATCTCTAAACAAAATTTAAATGTATATATACTCTAAAATGAATTTATATAAAGTCAGGTGTCATTCTGTGGTCCGGCCATGCTTCACTTCTGAGTGGAGTTTGTATGTTCTCCCTGTGTCTGCAATGGTTTCACCTCCAGGTGCTACGGTTTCACCGCTCACTTCTCTCACTCTCTGTGTGGAGTGAAGTGACCAATACATCAACAATTGTAAAGCGGCTTTGTGACTCTGGTCTCATAAATGTTGCTATATATATAAAGTTACTTACTTACACACACATAGTCAATATTAGCTTGTTAATAAATTAAATTACGAGGAAGTCTTTTATTGTGTATTGCAGAGTTAGAGACAATATTACATCCAAATTTTCGGATGGAAACCGCTCTCTCCACTCTCTTGAACACAACTCTATGGTCTTATTTGATCAGAATAATTGACAATTGGGATGACCAGTAGACTTGTGATCCACCCGGAAAAAAACCTCCTATATAACTTTAACAAAACTAGGTTTTGCTGCATTTCTTTAGAGGAATATTACACAGTAAGAATTTACATTTAGGAGCATGTACGTTCAGCAGATCTAATACATTCTCCATGGAATCCTTGCACAATAGAGCAACCTTTTCGACAGGATACTTGGCGATGGACTGCCGCCAGTGACGGCTTCATCCGCCACCATCAGAACCGTCCTCATTTTGGCTTACAACTCAAGCGTGGACCACAGTCTGCTCTTCAGACGGGACCCAGGTTATGTGTCGGTGTGTTGATCCAGCGGCAGTGCGTATTTTTAGCTTTTTTATTGCGGTGGAACGTGGTTTCTTTGCGGTGTTTTGTCAGTTAGATTCGGGGCGCCGCCATGACAGTTCTTCTTCTGACTGTGAGAGTCTGCAGCTCAGGGCCATCTGTGCAATCTGAGAGGGAACTGCAGTACTAGGAACTGTTGTCAGTATGGTTGGTGGCTTGTGGTTGATTGATTGGGGGATTATTGGTTGGTATTTGCTTGGTGGTTTGTTGTTCAAATCATTGATCAAATTTTTCCAAAAAAAAAAAAAAATTTTTTTCCTTGATCTTGCGCCGCCGGCACTTGTCAGTATGCTTGTGCTGCTCCAGGCTTCTACCACGGGCACGTAGCTGAAATCAGCCTTTGCATCCTATGTCACGCCACTGCGGAATGGAGGAGAGAGGCTCGGCTTTCTGCTTCAATAGCATGCGCTGTGTTGTGGACATGAAGGTACAGAGGCGTTGGAGAAAACTACAGTGCATAATTCTTATCTCCAGGTCCTGCCCAAAACGTTGAAACATATTTATTTATGTCCACTGTCGTGATAGTATGTGCATGTAAAAATCAGATCGACTGATCAAAGAAAACATAAAACAAAAAGCAGCCTTTATTATTAAATTGTTCTTACACTGTAAAAATCAATAGCATAAGCAGAGAATGAAGTAAGCTGATATAAGACAAATACTTTCTTTTTGGAGGATTTGTTGAATATAAACTTTGTGCTTCCTTTTTCTAACTAAAATCAAGGGACATTTGGTCCGGGCGAAAATATATGATTAATCACACACAATTGTAAAACAACCTTTGTGCCTCTGGTTTGGGAAAGGTGCTAAATGAATAATGACTAGTTTACGTACTTACAAGTTAAACAATGACTTTAATGCATTAATCACGATCAAATATTTTAATAAAAATAGACAGCACTAAAAGGTTTTGCAAGTTAATAGCAAACAAAAAATAGCTAACAAAGCATTTTTCTTGAATATAAAGCACTTGGTTGTTGTATTTCTTTGTTTGTCCAATCGTTGGGTTGTCCATTCATTGCTGACGCGCCTATCGACTCTGTTGTGATCTTGTTTTTTATGCAACATTTTGAAAGATTGATTTGATTTGACTAGCACCAACTTTGGTTATTGTTAAAAGCACGGTCTGTGATCAGAGGGCGGGGTGATGGCTGAGTGCTGTTACTTAGTTTGTCCACTAGATGAGGGGCTGGGGTTGGCTTGAACGAAAGTAGTTCCAATTGTTGCTTGTATTGATAATATAACTGACTAATATTATAATTAATATATATTTCTCTGTGATATTTACTGAAAACCATTATGTTGACTAAAATTATGATTCTCTTTAGTTGTTTCCCTCGTGTGACCTTCCTTTTAGAAATGAGTGAAGCAGGAACATACAAACCAGACTGACGAATGGTTGAGACTTTTTGATAAACTCATTTTGTTTGAAAATATACAACAATTTGTTTGAAATTTATTGTAGTGTTTTCTGACTGTCAGGTAATGTGACTTCCATCTGTCTACGAGCAGAGGGCTATTAATCTGGAATATATTTCATGAGAAAAATCAGCCCGACGTTTTTTCAGTTAAATTTGGCGATCCATCCGTGGTGACGTTGGCCAGTTTACTCCACGGTAGATTAATTCTCTCGATGACAGCGGATACCTGTTCACACAAGTCCTCTCCTCTCGTTTTCCCCTTCAGCGACTCCATGCTCAAAAGTTCCTCTGTTATCTCAAAACTCTCGTTTATCCCTCGGATAAAAATAAGAAGCTGAGCAGTGTCCTTTATGTCAGTACTTTAATCCAGTGCTAGTGAAAATAAAATGAAGTTTCTGGCCTTTTTGTCTAACTCGCTTCGCTCACTATATCTTCATCAATCAGTTCCACACGGCGAGTCACCGTCCTGCGCGATAGACTAACTTTTTCAAACTTCTCTTTGCTCTTTGGACACAGGAGACCTGCGGCCTCGACCATGCATGCTTTTAAAAAATTCGCCTTCGGAAAAAGGCTTACTAGCCTTGACCAACTTGAATGCCAGCAAGAAACTTGCCTTGGTACTTGCTTCTTGAATTGCAGTTTGTCTGTGAAAGAGATGCTGCCGAGCCTGTAGCTCAGCTGCCAGCCTCTGCAGTAGCAGCCCGTTCTTGAGTTGACTGCTTGCTAGCATAGTTTGTGTGTTTCGTGGTGAAGTGACGGCTGATGTTATATTCTTTGAACACCGCAACCGCTTCTTGGCATATCAAACATACAGCTGTTGATTGTACTTCAGTGAAAAAATATTTTGTCGTCCACTCTTTGTTAAACACACGGGATTCAACGTCCACTTTCCTTTTCTTTGGCCCGCTCATTTTTACAGAAGTACTTGAAAGGCAACTGGAAAGATAAAGGGAAATAAAGGGGAAAAATAGACACTCAAAAAGGCCTGCCAACGGTCAGAGCGCCATCTATTGGGGAAACGTGGGCATTGCAGGGTCAAGATGAAATGAATGATTGATGATTTTTTTCTTTTCTTTTTAATCGGACAAGTTCTGCGGGCCATATTAAAAAGCATGGCGGGCCTTAGAATGCCCATGTCTGGTCTAGTTTTTGCAAACACAGACACACATTAAAGAGACACAAAACCTTGGTTCAACCATATTCAAACACTACCATTGTATGACGGAAAAATAATCTAAAACGCATTGAGAAGACCTTAACAGTTGTCTATGATATTGTAACAGGTCTGGTTGAACATGGAGCATTGTGCGAGAGGAGCATTAGAAGGATTAGCGTGATGCTAAAATATCCTTTGACTGTACATTAAAATTGTACAAAATGGTACAATGATATATTGCGTGGGTATGATAAATATTTATACAACTTTTTTTTGGTATTACATGTTTTAGAATGTAAAATTATATATCCAGTAGAAATATGATATGGGCAGAAAAATGCATCATGGACAAACAAGGCTATCCACCATACTCTATATGTTAACGGACGTAGTCACGCCTATCTCCTCCGTTCTAACTATTGGGCCAAAAATTGGGCTTTCATGGAGTGGTTAAAAATGGCCACGAGGGCTGGAAAATGTGAAAAAACGCATCTGCGCATGCGTCAGCCGGCACAAGCGCCATTCATTTAAACGAGTGACTTAAAGAATTCACAGCGAGTAAACTAGAGTGCGGTCCAAAAAATTCACCCCCCTCAGCATTGACACACATGTGGAACGGAGCTTTGAGCCAAGAGCCAACTTTTGGACCAGCCTGTTTTTGGAAGTTTTTGAGAGGTCAGAAGATACGTACATTTGCCATTTGAGTCGAATAATTCCCTCTGGCCCAGTGTGGTATTGCAAGCATGTCAGCGCCCGTCATTTTGGCCACTTTTGAGCCGGGACCCGCCCCCACTGCTATCCACATGTTACTGCCTATGCTACCTCCAGAGGGAGGATTTTTTTTTTTCTCAGAGTTTGCAAATTATTGCCGAAAACATTGCCATGCGATTATAAGTAATGGCTTTTCACCTAAAACATTCCCAACACTAATTTATGATCAATACTTTTGTTTTAAAAAGTCGCTGTCATGGTGTGGATTCTTATCATTTTGAGCATTGATTTATTTTTTTGACCTCATCTGTTGTCTTACCTATTTGAGTTCTTCTTCCTGTTCCCTTGATTGTTTACCCCGCCCTAATATGATTCACCCGAGTCTCCCTGTTTTTGTATTCATACACTTGTATTTCTTCCACTTGTTGTCCGCATTCGGTAGTTTGTGAGTCACGGTCAAGCCCAAACAGTAGGAGGCGGTAATGCTCCTTTGCCAACTGGCATACAACAACAATAAAAAGAAGATTCCGTTCAATTCTCTCTCCCAAGTTTCTTCCTGGCTTGTTTTTAGTTCTGGATATTTGTGTGTGTTTATTGTTACTCTGGATTTACTCTGGATTTTGATTTATTTCATTACATTACACTTTATCAGTCCTGTTCAGTCCTGCATTGTGGGTTCCTTTTTTCCATTCACCTCATGAAAACAGCATATATTTCTGCAACATAAACATTAAACCGAAAGCAAGGTGGAGCATTGGCCTTTGAACCAGAAGGTTGTGTGTTCAAGTCCACCATGAGAGCTTCTCGACTGACTCCCACTGATGTCTGCTGTCATTGTGCCCTAGGGAATGATCAGTGAGGGGCTGGTGCTCTGTGAATTGGTAGCAGCTGAATGCCACCTCCCTAACCCAGAAATGGATTAAGGGGTAGAAAATGGATGGATGGAACATTTAAACAGAAAGTGCAAACTTACACACTTTTGTCTTGGCGTGGATGGATGTAACATAAGAACTCCAGCTCTGTTTTGGACGAGGGAACAATGTTGTTAGCACGATTACTATTGCATCAACACATCACCAGTAGGGTACAACCTCAAAAAATCTGAATTTGCTAAACACATCTCCTATAAGTTAGCCTGCTGTTGATTCCTTATCTAATTCAGCAGCGGCATACCTTTGCACGAGTTTGAACATCTGTGTTTGGTCACTGCAAATAGTGAGCTGTTGTCCTTCTGTTTGGGTGCCAGCTCAAACAGAAACACACACTGGACGTTGGAGATGGCCTTTGGAATCATTTCATCCGTTGACCAAGCTGTATTTGATCTAACAGTAAAACGACCCAATGCATTCACAAAAAGACAGATTGGCAAAACTGGGTGAAGTTTGATGAGTTGATGGCTAAGCACTTGATTTTCTTTAGTCACTAAAGCTATGGCATGGATAATAGTTTTGCTATCACTGACGATACGTTTAACCTGTCTAACGTAGAGCCTCTATACTTGCAACAGCACATTAATCCAAGTATAAGAAAAGCCATTTGAAGCCAGTGGTTTCTCCCAGCGCCCCGAGGCAGAGTCGCTCCACTCTTCTTCATAAGAGACAGTCTATATAGTGCCACATACTGTCATATATACACAGGGGCGGACAATTAATGGAGGATGGACAACATGGGCAGCATAGGAGACTGAAATATAAACGAATTACAGTTATATTCAAGTATAGATCTTCAACTAAAAAGGAGCTACGAGAATATTGATTAGATTTATAGTGGGTTAAAATCAAGTATCAATGAGATGTTTTGACTTATCTGTAAAGATGAAACAT